GGAAACTTAGGGTTTTCCCGAAGTTTCCTTATTTACGATTATTTGACAGTAGGTGGATTTCGACACCCACAGTTTGGCGCTAGAAGGAGGGGGGGGGGTCGGATCTATCTTACACCGAAGCCGCAACATGTCCAACGAAGAAACGATGACTGGTGACAACCAAACTCGCGACGAACGCGATAACGTTGAAACAACACCACCACAAGGAGCGTCTGCGGCCAACGCTACGAACGCTAACGCCGAGACCCTCGAGAAGATGCTTTCCGAGTTTAACAAAAAATCGGAAGAGCAGGAAAAGCTCATCGGTTCGCTCGCGAAACGGGTAGAAACCCTAACCGCGAAATCCGAGCAATTCGCCCCCGCGGAACTACTAAGATCCGCGGAAGAAGGCTGGACTTTGGCGCTCCTACGGATCGTCCCAGAACTGAGCAGGGTAACTTACCGGAAAAAGATTCCGAAAAAGACAATCCTGACCCGACGCTGAACGAATCGGAAAAACCTCCTATTCATGAACAGGAGACCGAGGGTGACGACATCGAACGGGTTAACCTGGAGACGAGCGACCAGGCCGATTCGACAGACGAAGATGCTGACGTCCATCCTAGGAGAAGAAAGACTCGAAGTCCTCTGCTGGAGTCTTCTCCCGAACGTTTGTATACTGGAGACGAAGGGGAACTCGACTTCGCGCGATACGCAAAAACCGCCGAGGAGCAATCTCCGGTCACTCGCAGCAAACGCCGACAAGGTCGGAAAACTGTTGGCGGTCTAACTGAGATGCGCGATCTCCGCGAGTACATCACCAAAACAGCCGCAGCGGTAAAAGCGGTGAAATCGAAAATTCACCACGCTACCAGCGCCGCACCCGAGATCGATCGGCGCTACTGTACGAGTCTCGGAAAACGCCCTTCACGGCCCGCATCACCGAGATCAAACTGCCCGATCCCGGAAAACTTAAGGTGCCGACTTACGACGGGACGTCCGATCCCAAAGCGCATCTGCAAGCGTTCCAGATCACCATGGGACGAGCCATGCTCAAGGACCACGAAAAGGACACAGGTTATTGCCGTCTCTTCGTCGAAAACCTAGAAGGAGCCGCGCTCGAATGGTTCGCCAAACTCAGGCAAAATTCGATCCGAATTTTTCGTCGACTGGCTGCGGAGTTCCTGAAGCAGTACTCGATGTTCATTAACCCGGAAACCTCCGACGCCGACCTCTGGAGTTTGGTGCAGACAGAGGACGAATCTCTCCGCAATTTTATGAGCAGATTCAAACTCGTCATGGCTAGGGTTAGCGGAATC